GGTCAGTGGTTTATCGCTGGAGTAACCAGCTGGGGACACGGATGCGGCCGAGTCGGTTTCCCGGGAGTTTACACTCGTGTGACGTCTATCAGGAGCTGGATATCCACATACCTTCCCTTCTGATGAAGGAAGAACTGTGTCTGCAGAGAACTGAGGTCATGCTAAACAGCCACACACAAACACTCAGTGTACACAGCCCTGACCTTTGTGACCCTCGGGTCACGGGTGCTGGCGGTAGTGCTGTGCTTTACCTGAACCGAGGAAACAATCCTGAGCTGTGGCTTAAACATTCATTTGGAGTATTTATTCGTTATTTATTGTCATGGATGGTAAACACACTGCACGTGGCTTTGTGTATGAATATGGGATTCATTTATGGGTAAATGTAATGGTGTTGTGATCTTTTACTGCAACGTGGATTTGTGGGGAAAGTCGACTCTGTACAAAGTCAGTGACGTGGGACTCGGTGTCGTTCTGTTGGTGGATGTTTTTGATCAGAAACGAGAGAACACCTGATTGATTAATTTATTATTTTTTCTTGGGGAAAAAAAATCACTGATTGCAAATGATGTTCACAGCTTTTCTGGCTCCTCACACAAACTCAGGAGGTTCCCAAACATCTAACAAACCGCACACATGAAGCTGAGAAAGGTGCAGTACCCCGTCAGGGCGAGGGAGACCCCGCTGGAACAAACCCACTACTGTGGAGGGCAGCAGATAGAGTGACAACCAGAAAACATGTCAGACAAAACAGTGTTGTTCTCCAGGTGTACTTTGATATAGGTCTGTTTGGAGGCTTTAAATGTCAAATTCATGCTGGTGAAAACACCAAAACGCTTCTCCATTCTTCCTTTTTTTCTTTAAGGCTCCAGGAAATATTTAATCACCCGGCGAAGAATGTGAAACAGTGTTTAAAGGAGAGTCTGCAGTGACTGGGAGAAGTTTACTGTTATTGGTATTACAGGCAGAAGCATTCGATGGGCAGGGAGATGAGTCACAGTAAGTGAGGTGGGCCTATTGAGCCAAACTGCACCTGGAGTCCTTTTAGCAGCAGAGCAGGCTCCGCCTCCTGCCACAGCATCAGCAAACACTTAAAACACATTCACACCTGAGCAGGTAATTTAGTGTTTCCAATCAGCACGGCAAGAACCCGCAGACGATGACTTATTATATTTCTAACGTAAAACACACAATCGATTTAACATTGGTAGTGAACTGTTCCTCAGAGCAAAATAAAAACTGTCTGCAGAGACACCGTTATGGCTGCAGTCCACAGGCTGTGCTCTGCCTGTCAGAGGTACTGTGACAGATGTTGCGCCGCTGCGTGGCAAAGTCGTGCACAGCGCGGGCCCTCCTGCAGAGCACTGCATCGGCCCTCGCTGTGTGCAGCAGCCTGACGAAGGGAAAGATGAAGAG